ACAATGACAGCAGGGCCAGATGCAGAATGACCCCTAAGTGCCAGCCTCAGAAAGCAGGGGCGCAAGCTGCAGCACAAGAGGCTCTGGAGCAGAGTTATCAGGAAAATGATGTTCATGGGAAGAACAGTTGGAAACTGAGATGATCTGAGTCACTAAATACAGAAAACCAGGAAAACATTCAGTAGTAGTGGAAAGGACAGCTGGGCAGTCTGTTATGAATTCTAGAAGAAATAAAAAGCCACAAATAAACTAAAGTCACTTAAGATGTAACACAGTGTGAACTGTTTTCACAGTGTATCTACTGAACACTGACCTAAGCAAAATTATGAGAGCACTGTCTTGGGAGTAAAGGGGGCCAGAAGGCTGTGCATGTATGAGAAGTGAAGAAAAAGAAAATAAATAGGCATTTTGGCCTTCATGGCTCTCTAACCTCCCAGCTCTATCACTGCTTTTAACCATTTGGTAATAACAGCTCCACACACTCACTGAAGAGTACTCTTTTCCAACAGCATATCTCTGTCATCTATTTAATTCATATGATTCTGCTTTGGTTTGTGACAAGGCTGAAAACTTCGTGACAGCCAGATGGGCTTCAGTGGGTCCCTGAAGGATAAAGGAAGTGACACTGGCCCAAATCTTACCTCACTCAGACCTTCTTCTTCACAGAACGTCTGAGAGAAAAGCACACAGGTCATTGTCTCTTCCTTCTTTGTAAAAAGGATGAAGTCTTTTCCAATTCTCATGGACCCACTATATGGAAGACAAAGAATATAATGATTTATACCCCAGATAGCAAAAGTAAGAAAAATAAGGAGGCATGGCTAGGTGTCCTGTAATGGGCAACTCTTTTCAACAACCTGCCTTACTGACCTACCACCAAGGGGCACAATCATGATCTTACTTCTCAAAGTAGCACTGAAGAAATGGAGTGGATCCAGCCTCACTCTTGCTCCAGACAGTGCTACTGAGATCAGGTTCCATCCCAGGTTAAGAAGAACAATCACTGCACCTTGTGGGACCACAGGTGGGCCTCAGGCCTCCCTTCTTATTGAGACAAGCTAGACAAAGCTGTAGTTACAACATTTAGGCTACAGGATGGTTTGAAAAACAAAAGAATGTACAGATGCAATAAAGTTTGAAAAATACACTTCAGAAATTTCTGTGAGAAAATTCACCTGGACTGTATATGAGAATTACTTTTTAAAATGTTTCATGAATCAAGTCAGTTATGGGTGTGGAGATTCTAGAACAACATAGAACCTCTCCACAAGTTTACACTGTTTTTAAGTCTTATAGTTTGGCTCATTCTGTGTAACATTGCCTTTAATACTGTTTCCAGTGTCAATAATGCATGCATTAAGGGGGGAAAATACCTACCTTTTAAGACCGTTGCCATACTGCCCAATGAACTTCAAGGTGGGTGAGTGTTTCTTGTGTATTCCAAAGTTAATTATGTATGAAGCTTCCTCTGTAATTGACAATGACATTCAAAGTGGTTAGGAAGAGTATTTGAGTTTATGACATATCTCAGGGCATTTGGACAAGCCCAGCCCAGAGTCAAGGGTTCATATCAGGATGCACAATTTCTGGCAAGGATCTCAATGGTGTGACATTGATGGAGTTGGGACAGACTTAATCAAGTGACTATGGGTAGAGTTTAAAATTCTGAGCCTTAATTTTCTTGTCTGAAAGGAAAATGCTAACACATCACAAAGCTGTTGATGAAGATAAATAGATATGAATTAAATGAAATTATATATTTGTGAGGCTCTGGAAAAAATATTTGGCACTTAATAAGTATGAAGAAATTATAAGGGTCATAATGATTTTTTAATCCTTTATTTATTTATTTTGTGCAGGGTGTCACTATGCAGCTCAGACTCATAGTGATCCTCCTATCTCAGCCTCCTCAGCATTGGGATTACAGGTGTGCAACACCACACCCAGTTTTGGTGGCCAACTTGGCAAGGGGCCAGATTATCCTTGGTTCTGGAGTATATTCTTTTTTCTTTTCTCCATAATTTTATTGAGAAACAAATAGCAATGAGGCAGTTTCAAATCAAATTGGTAGGACAGTTTCAATAATTAACACATTGTAAATTCTCTTCTTAGTGGTTACTTGCTGTACAAGATGCAGACATGATATCCTATTTACAAACACTATTAGAACAAATCCCTCTATTCGTTAAGAGAATGTAACTGTATATCTATCCTAACCATTTTGAATACACAGATACAAAATGGACATTCATCTATATCCCCTTTTTTTGTTTAGTTCCATTATTTGACTATTATAGGTGTGTTAACTCAGCAAAATATTCTAAGAGTCCAGTAG